ATACACAATGGAACACAGTAAAGACGGTCATTAACAAGTAGGAAATATGGCCCAACAGTGATTTTACCAAGAACTGGGGATTCCTCCAAAATTGGTGAAAATAGGAATAAAACTAATCCTGGAGGCTGGCGAGAGGCCTACAGCAACATTAAAAGAGCCACAGTAATTCTGGCAAGTACCGGTTGTATACTACATCTGACAATCGCCAACATTCTTCATATGTCTGGGTGTCTGGGCTGTGGGGTAGGGTGGCAAGACAGAAGCCTTTTCTAAGAAAAACATCCAAACCTGGCTACATTTTGCAAAATCCTACATCAAACACAACAAAAACATGTGGGAAAATGTGCGAGGATCTGATGAGACCAAGATTTAACTTTTGGTCAAATTCCAAAAAGTATTTTGGGGCATAAACAATCACACTGCACATCACCATAAGAGCGCCATACCCACATTCAAGCATGGTGATGGCGGCAGCATTTTGTTCTGGGGCTGTTTTTCTTCAGCTGGAACTGGGGCTTTTGTCAAGGTGGAGGGACTTATGAACAGTTGCAAATATCAGTTTTGGAACAAAACCTTCAGGCCTCTGCTAAAAAAAGATGAGGAATTTCACCATTCAGCCTGACAATGACCCAAAGCGTACCTCCATATCAACAAAAGAATGGCTTCATCAGAATATTTGGAATGGCCCAACCAGAGCACAGACCTGAATCCAACTGAAAATCTGTGGGCTGTGCACAGGATATGCCCTCACAATCTGACAGTTGTGGAGCACTTTTGCAAGGAAGAGTGAGCAAAGATTCCCAAGACAAGGTTTGCCATGCTAATAAGACTCCTACCCCAAAATCTGAATTCTGTCATATAATTAAAAGGTGCTTCAAAAAGTATTAGTTTAAGGGCACGTGCATATTTATGCAACAACATGTTATGTTTTTTATTTTTTCCCCCCCGGTAAAGAATTCAGTTTGTTTTTTATTGAATTGTGCAGATTATAGGTCACATTAAAAGGTGGTAAAAAACAAAAACAAATCACAGGAGATTTATCTTAGTCTGAATTTTTACATCTAAAAAAGCTGCCATTTTTACAGGAGTGGGTAGAATTTCATCCACCGTTAGTATTACTCCTAGGCAAAAACAAGCATTTAACCTTTGCAGTGTAGAAGGGCCCCGCTGCAAGGGTATATTTTTCCAGGCTGGAGGCCTGCCTTGTGGGAATTTTTTTTAAAAAAAGGATAGTTTTTGCAGAGAAACTTTCCAAGACTCCATAGCTGAAGGCATTCAGAGAATGCTCAGGTAGACCCTTCCAAAACCCCCATGAGTTTATGAAAGGGTACCGGGAAGAAAACATCAATTCCGTCAAAACACAGAAATATATGACTTTTCAATAGTTAGCTAAAATCATTGCAATCTATAACTTTATCTATGTATCTTGAGTTGCACATTTACAAAGTGAACAAGGTACTTTGACTCTTTTTCTGCCACGGACGCAATTACTACATCCGTGGCAACAGGGGTCAGACTATCACCCCCCTATGTGATAGCAATAAAGATGTTTAAAAATAAATAGAACCCCCAAATGTTTCTACACATGCATCAGGTGCGCCTACATTTGAAAAAGATTGACCCACACGTTTGGCATCACCACACACGTTGGAATGAGAACAATAATTCTAAGGCCATTATACATGGTTAGCTCTAAATTGATGACTCGTAAAGGCTGTTAAATTGTCACTTATGGCAAAGCTGGAATACTAAAGATTTTCGCTGTTTCATGGGTGCACGCAGTTTTGAGGCTTTACATGTTTGGTAAACAGTAAACAATGTTCTCATGTTATCAATGAACAGGAACACTCAGAGGATTCCTGTTCATTGATAACATGGGGACACAGAAAAAGAGATTGAGGACTTTGTGTTCTCAATCTCTTTTTCCATTTTAAAAGGGAAATATCAGGGGTCTGTTTAGACCCCTAATATTTCCCCAAAGCCTCTAAAAGTAATGTAAAAAATAAAAATATTTATTAAAAATTGAATTAAAACTAAAAAAAATTAAAAAGTTTATAAAACATAAATAAAAAATATTTTAAAAATGTGAAAAAATTAAAATAAAAAACATTTTTGGTATTGGTTTCGGCCTGACAATTTTTTTATTTTGGTTTCGTTTTTAATATTTCCATTTTGGTGCACCTCTAGAATTTATACCTCACTTCTTGTCCTGTTGGCACCCAGATAGACTCTGCCATGCAAGTATTTCCCAACAAAACTGACAGCATCAGTAGAGATGCCTAAGCAACCTATAAGATAGGCACTGTATTTGCTCATGAAGGACAAGTGGATGTGCATCTGCATAGCTGATGGTGGGCTTCAGGTGGTGGAGTAAATCACAGGTATGCATCTAACAGGTAAATGTCACTGCTGTTAGTTTTGTGCCTTTAGGCAGAACTCCAGGCTGGGAAAAAAATAAGGTTGATTGCTGAAATCCCAGGTCCCCAGCAAGGTCCCAGCAGCCTTTCTGTAAACGGTGGCGCCTGTTTACTACGCCGAAAATCTCCACGCCGCCTGCCGAGACCGCACAGCCACCCGAGAGCCGCACAGCCCACCATAGACCCCCTGCATAGCCCATCTGAGAGTCCGCACAGCCCACCATGACCTGCACAGCACCCTGGGAGTCTGCATAGCCCATGCACAGCCCACAGAGCCCACCAGCATTGCCTAAGACCCCACACAGTCTCCTGAAACCCCCCACACAGCCACCTGTGATCCTCCACTGGAGACATCAGACCGGCACCCCAAAACAGCACAGAGTATATAGCTTCACATTATTTTGCATTGATGTATAATGCATTGCTGGGATTTGTAGTCCTTTATAGCCAGTTGCCATTGCTGTATAATGTATCGCTGGGATTTGTAGTTCTCTCTAGATGGCATTATTCTGCATTGCTGTATAATGTATTGCTGGGATTTGTGGTCACTCTACAGCTTGGAGTCAGTGGCAGCTGGGACTGGGCCCCCCGGCACTTCACCACTGTCCTAAAATCATTAGTCTGTATTGTTTTAGAAAAAATATCACGACACAAAAAAGGTATCGTAATTGGAATCGGCGAGTACTTAAGGAAAAGTATCGGTACTCGTACTTGGTCTGGAAAAAATGGTATCGGTGCATCCCTACTGGTTTCTATTAATTGTCTACACAAATAGAAAATCCCTTCATGGCAGATTAAAGTTCCTTAATCAGTTTTGCTGCTGCTGCCTCACACAAATGTCTACTATACACAATTACCTAACTGCAAAACAGTTAAGTGAAACCTACAGGGCATCAACTACAACACAAGGCAGGATGACAAATCTGCAGAGACATACCAAAATCCCTGTTTGCAAGCCCTTAACCCTGAAAAAATGTTTCATCAATAATACATTTTATAGATTTCTAATATCTCCCTATTTTGTGATTTAAAGACATCCACAGCATGTAACAATTTAAGGGCAACAAATTAAAAATATGACATGGCAAAGAATAACCAACTAGGCTGACCAACTCTATCCACACAAGCATGAGCTAAAATAAGTGGATCAGGCTTCTATTTTGTGATGTTTTTAGGAAGCTTTAATCCTCTGCCTTCAGATGGGCCAGTCAAGGAAATCGAGTCAAGAAAATGTTCGCTTGGAAACAGCTTACAAAGGACATGAACACTACAACTGGTGAGAAAATCTTACTTTACATAACATAATTTAGAGAAAACACAAACATTGAATAGTTAAGTTAAATTATGACACATTCCACACATGTACATTGTTCCATAAAATTTTATTTGCTGTTCTCCTCTTTCTGACAAATGGAATGACTAATGCTGCTTGTTCATCACAAACTAATGCTCATTTGGTAGAAGTTTAATGAGGCCAAGGAGGATATATTTTTGTATTAACAATTCCAAAAATAAAACAATTGATAAGTACCAAAGAATATAAGAAGTCTAAACTGACTTCTACACCCCCACCCGCCAAAGGCTCCTTTTCAACTGATGTGGCTAAAAACGGGTTGTCATGGACATGGTACATGCAAGCCTGGAGTGAAAATGCACAAAAGAACCCCCAAAATATCACACAGGATAAAAACATGCACATTACATAAAAATAAAACATAGAGGACTCTTCAGAAGAGAGGAGAACATGCCTAGATTTTAATTAAGCGGCTAACCTTCCTTATTCCAGCAACAATTAACACAGCCACTGATGACTTGTTCATATTTCACATGAAAGGAAGATATAATAAATTCCATTTTTCTTCCAGAAAAAAAAAAAAAAAAAAAAAA